TGGAGTAGTAATGAGTGAGCACAGAGGCCCCAGCAGCACTGGATGGAGTAGTAATGAGTGAGCACAGAGGCCCCAGCAGCACTGGATGGAGTAGTGAGGAGGGAGCACAGAGGCCCCCAGCAGCACCAGATGGAGCAGCAAGCAGTGAGCGGGAGGGAAGGCAGAAGAAGGAGGCAGGAGGGCGTGCAGGATGTACTGTGTTTTCCCCGAGGCTCACCTGGCCTCATCCTGGATTTCTTGAACTGTTTGTAGATGAGGTACATCTTGTCCAAACAGCACTGAATCTGCTGGATGCTGTGGGAGGAGACAATGGGTCAGGTGACTGGATAACCAAAGGGCAGGGTAGGGTGGGGCTGAGATGGGAGTCAAGGAAGGAGCCTCATGGCCACAGCTTGGGGGCCAGTCTGGGAGTGGGGGTGACTTGCCTGCCTCTGAGCTTATTTGAGTCACCCTGGAGCTAGCCAACAGCCATTCTCTCATTCATTCATTCAGTCACTCACTCACTGTTTCCCTGCGTGCCTGTCTGTCTCTCACACACACATATCATGCATTCAGTAAGGGCGAGATAAATAGAGAAGAAGTCAAGCAGGAGAGGTGTCAGGAAATTGGCCTTTGCCACCTCCAGAAGACTTGAGGATAGAATCCGGAAGAAACTCTGAACCCTCAGGACCCAGAGTCAAGAGAGACTGGCAGTGAGGACCCAGGTGGAGAGAAGTCTCTTTTCTGGCCACCTACAGAGGGCAGAGTAGGGCCATCTTGGTATACCCAATGCCTGGCACATGGAAGGAACTTAAAGTGAATTAACAATCCTTGTTTAGAACAAGAATGAATCAATAATCTTGTTCTAAACAAGGGGAGCATCCTGCCTGGAGGGAAGGAAGGAGGGAAGGGGAAGTGACCTCTCAAGGACCTTTCAGTCTGTGTTTTAAGGTCAGTATTGTCCCCTATCTCCCTTTTTTAGACTAGAGACCAACACTTGATTGTTGGGGGTGGCGTGTGGGTTCTTCCTCTGCAGGCTCCTCCCAGCCCTCTCCACCGCCCCCAGCTATTTGCAGAGGTGGGATGCTCAGCACAGACGGAGAGTGTTCCTCGGGCTCTGCAGCCCCAGAAAGCTTGCCTCCCGAGAACACGGGCTGTGAAAGAGAGGTTGGGACAAGACCACAGATCCAGTCTTTATCCAAAATGCTTGGTGTTTGTAAGTCAGAATTTTGAAAGGAACTCAGTGCACATACAGTCTACTGCGGAACACCCCCTGCAGGGTCTGAGGCAGCACTCCAGAATCAAATACAGTCATGTCTTCAGAGAGCTGTAAGAATACTCACCCTAAGTGGGATAAATAAAACTATAAGAGCCTCCGACCACCCACTGTCAGTTTGTTGTACTGTGGTGGCTTGTGTGATACTGGAAGCTATGCCACCAGTATTCAAATACCAGTAGGGTCACACATGGTAGACAGGTTTCAATGGAGTTTCCATTCTAAGACAGACTAGGAAGAAAGGCCTGGCAATCTACATCCAAAAATTAGCCAACAAAAACCTTGGACATGCCAGTGATCATAAAGATGATGCAGGGCCAGGCATCGTTTCCTTCTGTTGTACATAAGATCACCATGAGTCTAAGTGGACTCGATGGCAGCTATCTACCTCTTTAAGAGCCTGTTACGGACTGAACTGTGTCCCTTCAAAATGTGTGCCAAGTAGGCATAATTGCCAGTATTGTGTGCTTGTCCACCATTTTGTGATCTGATGTGATTATCCTACGTGTTGTAAATCCCAACATATATGATGTTAATGAGGCAGGATTAGGGGCAGTTACGTTAATGAGTCAGGACCCAATCTATAGGATTAGGTTGTATCTTGAGTTAATCTCTTTTGAGATATAAAAGACAGAATGGAGCAGAGAGGAGAGGGACCTCCTACCACCAAGAATGAACCGGTAGGGGAGCGTGTCCTTTGGACCCGGGGTCCCTGCGCTGAGAAGCTCCTAGACCAGGGGAAGACTGATGACAAGGACCTTCCCCCAGAGCTGACAGAGAGAGAAAGCCTTCCCCTGGAGCTGGCACCCTGAATTTGGACTTCTAGCCTCCTAGACTGTGAGAGAATAAATTTCTGTTTGTTAAAGCCATCCACTTGTGGTATTTCTGTTATAGCAGCACTAGATGACTAAGACAGAGCCTCGTGCCAGTTTAGGTCAGGTTCTGTAGCCAGAAGAGTCCACAGAAATTTGTGATTTTCAAAGCCTTTTAAATTTTGAATTGAGGTCATGTGATTATGGATCTGTATAGGGGCAGAGGGCAGGAGGTATGGGGTAGGGGTGGCTCCCCAAAGGGCACTGCCCACCTTCTGGACAGAGCTGGGCCAGGGAAAGCCGCGGCTCTGCCTGGGCAGGTTGCGGGGGAGGCACACAGCAGACTCGGGGGTGGATGGGTTTTTTTCCTCCTATTTTAGTTCATTTTAACCATTTTCAAGTCTACAATTCAGTGATATTAATTATATTCAGAGTATTATATTGTGTAGCTGTCACTGCTACTTCCAAAATTTTTCATCACCCCAAACAGAAACGGTACCATTAAGCATCAGCTCCCCATTTCCCCCCTTTCCTCAGCCTCTAATCACTTTGAATCTACTTTTTGCCTTTATAAATTTTCCTAGTGAGTGGGATTGTAAGGCTGTAAATCCCTGGCGTAGGCCAGGTGCATGGGCTTTGGAGAGGGGCAGACATGACCTGAAGCCCCACCTCTGTCCTGGCCACTTACTGGCTGTGACTCAGGGTAAATTCACCTCCCCAAGCGAGGTTTCTTAGGTGTAAAACGGGTATGATAGGAGCGTTATTATTGTTTTGAGGACTAAACAATGTGAGAGCACCTCTCCAAGGGCCTGACACAGTGCTCTTGGCCTTGACTCAGAAGAGAAAGGGAACAAAACTATTCCCTTATTCAGAACTGTTGTACCTGCTCTCCAAACTCCCAGGGGAGGGCAGGCCCTCGATCCTTTTCTTGCTGTGGTCAGCTGCAGGGGAGGGTCGTCCTGTTCCCGAGTCCCCCGCCACCACCCTGGGCCGCAGCACCCTTGACTCCATACAGGAGAAGGCAGGCTGGTTCCTGAAAAGTCTACTGGGTGTTTGGAGCAGTACACCCCCACCCCCACCCCACAAAGAAGGAAATCCCACAGACCTTCTGTCCTCATGTACCTGATCCCGGTTCTTCGCCAGCTCTGAGCTCAGGTTTCTCAGGCTCATCCGGGTCTCTGTGATATTTTGAGAACATCTGGAGAGGACCTCAGCCAACTGCGAGGCAGAAGGGCAGCCCCCATGGGGTCCTCAGTGCCGGGCTGTGATGAGCAGCCTGGCTGGATGACTGCCCCCCGCCACAGCTCTGCTCCTGACAAGGACCATGCCCCCCCACAGACATCCTCCCACCCGTCCTCCACCTCCCACACAATCCCCCCCACACCCACACTCTGTCCTTCTACCTCCCCACATACACCCCCAATCCTCTCCACAACCTCCACATACACCCCCCACCTCCTGTACCCCCTGACGCACCTCTACTCACCCATCGTAGCTTGGACCTCAGCTCTGTGGCCCTGTTGAGCTCCTGGATCTCAGGCCTCGCAGCCGTGTTGGTGAACCTTGAGGGAAGAAGGAGGAGTGTGGGGGTGAAAAGCCTGCCCCAGTCAGGGGACGGCTGAGGTGGCTGGCAGAGAGCTCTCAACAACACACGCTGAGCGCGGCGTCTTTGGGACAGCCTGGCTAGCTGGTGGTGTCTCTGGAGAGTGTCAGGGTGGGGACACAGGAGCCAGCTTGAAGAGGCCCCTGCTCACCAAAGCTGAGGCATTGTTGGGTATTAAAGATAATAAAGACTGAAGTGGGTTGGAACACCTTGAATCTAAGACTGTTCATGAGTCTGTAACGAAGCAAAACCAATTCCGACTCCTGGCAACTTCGTATGTTACAGAGTGGAATTTCTGCATGGTTTTCTTGGCTGTAAACTTTCCTGAAGCAGATCACCAGGCCTTTCTTCTGTGGCACTGCTGGGTGGGTTCGAACTGCCAACCTTTCGATTAATAGCTGAGCACAAACAGTTTGTGCCACCCGAGGACCTCTATAATGACAGGCAGCTAATCATGACCTCTTCACTTAGACAATTGGTAACTAAGGGAGAGAATTAAGGTCCTTCCCAGCAGGAACTGTGTTTCATGATGACCAGTGCTTACCGATGCGGGAAAAGCTGGGTTTTGTAGAGGAATACCAGCCACAGGGTGTCGGGACCTGGAGTGTCAGCCCCCTGCTGGCCTAGGGGAAATAATCACTTGGGCACAGCGTTAAATCAACAAGGAATGATTAAGGGGCAGATGACTGTGGGATGCCCACGTCCACCTCGCTGGTTCTTCTTTCACAGGGAACATGTAGCTGCGCGGTAGAGGAATGAGGCTGTCACCACCCAGGTGGGTCAATGTGAAGCACCTGCCATCACCTAGGATACACTCTAGCCAAAAATGTTTACCCAGAATCCACCAGCCTTTGGAGTTCCTGGTTTACAGGAAACACCAGGAAAGAGAGACAAGTCCAGAAGGAGGGACAACGGGCATGGCGCCTTCAGCAGCAGTGCCATGAAACACAGGGAGGGGCGTGGAACCTCTGCCAGATTAAAATACGCTAAAGGAATAGAACAACCAGATTGGAAGGATCACCCTCGATTGGATCCTGGTTTGGATGAACCCAGTAATAAAAGGACATTTTTGGGGATCATTAGAGACATTTGAAGATGGATGGGTGCTGTTGCTGTTGTTGTGTGCCGTGGAGCTGATTCCAACTCATAGCAACACTGTCGACAGAAGAACTGCCCCACAGGGCTTCCAAGGCTGTCATCTTTACGGAAGCAGACTGCCACATCTTTCCCCCATGGAGTGGCTAGTGGGTTCGAACTGCCAATGTTTCGGTTAGCGGCCGAGTGCTTAACCACTGCACCACCAAATGTACTGACATGGAGAGGAAGAGCTCATTAGCCAAAAAGCAGATTACAAGCCAGCAAGTATGGCATAATCTCATGTTGGTTACTATCTATACGTATATACATATAGCAGGAAGCTATCTGGAAGGACATATACTAGGTCTTAGCAAGTGGTAAGTAATTCCTGGGTGGTAGCATACGGTATTTTTATTTTCGTAGTTTTGCTTATCTGTATTTCTAACTTTCTATCGTTAGCATATATTGTCTTTTAATAACAATTAAGGAAAAAGAATCCTGCATATTTTGGCTTGGGAATGGAGGGGCAGGGAGGAAAGAGGAAATGAGCAAAGAGAGAATTAGGAATGACCTGGAAACCCCATGAAGGCCTACTTTGCTACCCATTATGTCTCCAATGCCTAGGGAAGGGCTTAGCATGCAGTAGCTGCTTGATAGTTGAAAGGACATCACATTTGGTGAAGTAGGGGGTCAGCATGAACGAGGGAAACCCTCAGTGAGGTGGATTGACACAATAGCTGCAACAATGAGCTCAAACATACCAACAATCAAGAAGATCGCGCAGGACCGGGCAAAGTTTCATTCTGTTATACACGGGTCATCGTGAGTCGGAGACGACCCAATGGCCACTGATAACAACAAGAATGGTTGCTGAATGAATTACTAGTAGCACAGGTGAACTGCAGGGCACCAAGTCACGGATGGCAAAGCAGGACAAGGCTGAACAAACTCAAGTGGACAGGCCGTCAGGGGACACAGATTTGAATCCCCGCTGCCGCACTTGCTATCTTGAGTAATCACTTTAGCTCTCCAAGCCCCAGGCTTGTCATCTGTAAAATGGGGAGACAAATTTCCTTCCTGCTCCCTAAAAAAGTGTCCTTGAGGATCAAATGGGACCACAGAGAGGAAAGCCCTTTGTAAAGGGTCAGATGAGAACACCCACTTGTTTTGGTGATGGGTGGGAGGAGCCTCTGGGACCCCCGGAGCTGTCCTGGCTCCGTAGATGGCAGCAGTTGCCAAGGAGGGCCAGGTAGCTTCGGGGCAAAGGCAAGGACGCCCCGCCGAGGGAGCCTGTCTGGGGCAGCCTGCAAAGCACCCAGTGAAAGAAGAGGTGAACCAGCAGGCTGGCACTGATGGGCCACTTAGGTCAGGTGCTCAGGCTTCTCCTGGTGTGAAATTCACTTCATTAAAATCGCTCACATTCCAATGTGACAAAACTAGTGGCTTCAGGCCTAGAAGAATCTACAGGTCTGAGGATGTTCAGGAAAGAATGGGATTGCAAAACACTGGAGCTGGGAGGCCTCAGGGATCATCCGCCCCCGTCATTCTGAAAATGAGGAAACAGACGCCCAGCTAGGGAAGGTGATGAGAGCCCAGCGTCTGGCCGGGAATTATCAAAGAGCTTGGCCCCGGCCCTCCCCTTGGATGCCTGCTCAGGGCTGTTTCCCTCTGCCATCCTCCTCCTTGAGGGGAGGTTGTGAAAGGCTTCCTAGCAGGTGCCACCTGAGCCCTGAGCTCTCCACACACCTCAGAGGAGGCCTGGGAGCCAGGAGGGGACAAACAGCAACCAGGAGATGACAGGACTCCAGACCTGGGTCAGCCTGTCATTCCCCATGCTCCTGTTAGCCCAGGGAAAGTGGTGGACAAACACCTGGAATGCCTTCCCTACACATCTCTTTCCTGCCTTAGAACCTACAATGACTCCCTATTGGTCATGTTATTGGGATTTAACCTCCCAACGGAGCCCCGGTGGTGCAGTGGTTAAGTGCTCAGCTGCGAAACAAAGAGTTGACAGTTTGAATCCACCAGCGGCTCCTTGGAAACCCTACGGGGCAGTTGTACTCTGTCCTATAGGGTTGCTATGAGTTGGCATCGACTCGACGGCAACAGATTTGGTTTTTTTGATTTGAACCTCCGAACAGAGTCCCTGAGTGGTGCAAGCAGTTAACATGCTCAGCTGATAACTGAAAGGCTGGAAGTTGGGGGCCACCTAGATAGAGGCACCTCAGATGAAAGGCCTGGCCATCTACTTCTGAAAAATCAGCCACTGAAAATCCTACTGAGTGCAGTTCTACTGTGACACACATGGAGTCACTAAGAGTTGAAATCAGCTTGATAGCAGCTGGCTTTTAACTCCCAACTGGAGCCCCCGGGACCTACGTGAATTCCCCCTCCCAGCCCCCCATGCTCCAGTTTCACTCTGGGAGTTTCCAATGTGACCATGGCTTCAGCAAACCTCACCAGCACGACCCATCCCCCAAAACCTGGCCCTTTCCTCTCTGCCTCTGCCCAAGACCTTCCCACCCAAAGTATTCTCTCTCCTTCTGGCCTTAAAAGCCTCGTCTCTTCCAGGAAGACCTCTGTGACTGCCTCTAGCCACCTCCAGTTTCCCCTTACCCAACCATCCTGTCAGCCCTCACGTGCCCGGAAAGGGCTCTCAAGGTGGCCCCGATCCTCCAGGAGAGCGTGGGCCACTCAGAGTGGGATGATGTCACATCTGTCCCTGGATTTGTGCCCTGGAGAGAGCTCTGCTCACAGGAGACTCGCCAACCGTGCTGACAGATCCCACTCTGTACTCCCTCACATCACCATTTGAAGGCTCGGCCTTGACAGGGACAGTCCCTGTCATCTGGAGACTCTCTATCCGCCATAAGCATTGCGTGCCTCTGGGGTTTGGCAGCAACAAGGCTGCAGTGAGTCAACTCCACTCCTGGGAAACTCCCTGTACCTCCCAAGGGCAAGGGCTGGGGAACACGAAGGGTGGGACAGCAGGCATGCTCAGCACAGTCTCTGCTCCTCCGTCACCACGCGTCTCCCCTGGTTGGGAAAGGCTCCCACCAGCTTCCCTGGGCCTCCGTGCCCATCTCTCACCTTCCAGGGTGCGCGTGGCTGTGTCCACTTCCCAGTCGTGAGAGTCATCCCCGGGTTTCTCATCTCCAGACCCTCCAGCTTGGTCTCCTCCTCCCAGTCTATCCCTGTTTCTACCCCATCACCTTGTATTATCAGCCCCACAGAGGAGTGGAGCTGTGGGGTTCCAGGGAGTCAGAGGAAGGCGGAGGACAAGGTGAAGACCCAGAGAAAGTGGGGGAAGGACGAGACCGTCTGGATTGCCATCCCCCGACATGTCCAGGGGACCAGGTGTGGGTGACAGGGACCTAGAGTCCTCCTCCAGGGCTGGTGCAGGGTGAGCAGTCTGGATAATTCAGAGAAGGGGTCTCGTAGGAAAGAGGCCCCTTCCAGGGGCAGGGAGGTTGCCTTGGACCCGGAGATGTCCCCACAGACCCCTTCCCTCTGAGGTGACGGGCTAGTGGTGGGGGGAGGTACATGCAGTTGTCTGTCGGGGGTGGGGTGGTAGATGGAGATAGGAGTCCTTCCCTGAGGGGGGAAGGCAGGAGCTCTGGGTAGGGGAGGGGAAGGGCACTATTGGGAATATCGGGGGTGAGAACAGACAGAAGTGCTGAGGGGTTGGAGCTGGCTCCACGGCCCCACTGTCCTGGAGGACACCCACCTCTCGCTGCCCAGGCTGCTGCTGAGGAAGAGGAGGGCTGTCCGCGTGACCTCCAGCGTCCGCCTGCACGTGGCCTGGAGCATCTCCCTGCCCAGGGGAGCCTAGTCAGAACCCCTGCTCCCCGCGCATCAGGGCACCAGGGCACCGTGCATGGCCCTGGCCCAGGGGTGGTTTGGAAGCGGTCTGGGTTGCCCTTGTTACCCGCCGGCCCGGCCTCGCCCTCTCCACCCAGCCCTCAGGGTACTCACGCCATCCATTGCAGCCCCCGGAGCATCAGCTCCTGCCCGTCCAGCAGGGCCTGTGCCAGCCGCCGGGCCTGGCAGCCAGCGCCCAACACGCCCTGAAACACATGGGTGGGCAGGGTCAGGTCCCCTGCCCCCACCCCTGTGGGACCCTTCCCAGCCACCTGGGGCTGCCCCTCACCTTGGCCGTGTTGTAATCTGACTGCAGGTCCACTTTGGGGACGAACTTGGGGATGTCCAGAGCAGCTGCAGACAAAGACCCTGTCTGAGGGGCCTGCCTACACAGTCCTGGATCAGCTCTGAGCTCGTCTTTCCTCATTCCAGCTCAACCCACCCTTCACCCCACGCTTCCTAACTCTCCAGAGCCTGCCACCTGCCAAGCCTCTCCAGGCCTCCACCTCAGATGCACTTAACAATGCAGCTGTAGTGCCACGCTGCCTCCTAGTGTCCACTTGGGAGAGCTTTGTCCTCCTTCCCAGGGCCCCATCTCAGCAGCCAGAAGATGGGCTAAACCACCCTCTTGCCCATGGGTTTCAAGGTTGACTCCCCTTCCCAGCCTTGGAGACCCTAAGAAGGAGGATGAAATTGGCATCACCCAGATGAGAAGGAATACTATTTTTGCTAGAACTTGGAAGAGGACAAAGCTCTGGCCCGACTCTCCCCTTGTCTCCAGCGCAAACTCTCTGCATTTCCCCCAAGCCGCAGAGTTTGTGGACAGCATGTTACATCTGAATGTCCCTCTTTCATCTGGGGCTCCTTTCACAGCCCTGAGGACGCTGTGAAGCCCTAGTCACATGGCACTCATACAGGCACATGCAGAACACAATCAGATCTGCCTCCTGCACCCCGCGGGCCCAAAGAAACACCCACAGAGAGAACTAAGCCATGCCCGGGCTGTGATCTGTCACCTCTTGGGGGAGACTGTGAGGAGAAGAGACCCAGCCAGAGTGGCCCTACTCACGGTCCCTGAAGGCCAGCCCCTTGGGGGTCTCGCTGGCCATGCTGAACAGGGTCAGGGGGCTGCTTGCAGTTGTGTGGGTGATGTGCTGGGCTGAGAGGCTGGGCTCGAGGACACAGAGGTGGCCCTCGAAAAGGTACTCCTGGTGCTGGGGGGCCACGTTGGTCTGCTCATACACAGCCTCCAGAAAGATGGCAATCCTAGACACACGGGGGGCAGAGGGGATGGGGGAGGACAGGCAGTGTCAGGGGCGGGCACAGCACGCAGGATACAGGGCCCAGGTGACCCAAGCCCCAGCTAAGACTTTGTCCACGGAGAGAGAAGGAACTCGAGTGGTTTTCTCTTTGGTCAAGGGTAGAGAGACGAAGAGGAGAATTCAGGCCTTACAGTGGATGGCGGCAGAGCAAGAAGGGAACCCGGGGCTCCCAGTACCCAGCCTCCACCTTTGGGCCTCTTCCTACCACGCTCCATTAAAACTCACCTCCAGGAAAAAGGGTTCTATGAGCAAAGGAAATTGGGAAATGTCCTGCTCCCTCCCCCTACCAGGGAGGTTTAGAATGCACGTTAGCAGAGTCGGGGTCTCGGAATCTCTGAAGTCCAGCAGTAAGGAAACCTGGTTAGCTTTAACTTGGTGGAATGAGTAGTTTCCCAAACTAATAAGTTTGGACCCAGAAGCTGTCATATCTAAACACGCCACAGAACGTGCTTTGGGAGGTGCTGGCTTAGACGTGGCCTTCTGCTGTGAGGGCCCCCCCACCCCAACCCTCTGGGGTAGAGAAGGGCTCTCCTGCTTCCCCTCACACGTCCCCACTTACGTGTTGTGGGCATGGATGTAGACATGGTGCAGGACTGCCTGGGACAGCGAGAAGACGTGGACGACAACACGCTGCAGGATGTTGCTGGTCTCTGCGAAGAACTGGTCAAAGCCCCAGCACTTGGCCTGCTCAGCCTCCAGGATGTTGGCCAGGATGGGCACCAGCTGGCTCTGCAGCCCCCTGCTCTCCCAGAACATGGAGAGCATCAGGGGCTGGAGCTCAGACTTGTTCTCCTTGAGCAAGTCCAAACCAAACCCACTGCCACTGAGTAGATTCCGACTCATGGCGATCCCATATGTGCAGAGCAGACCTGAGCTCCATACGGTTTTCTTGGCTGTAATCTTTTTGCAAGTAGATTGCCAGGCCTTTCTTCCAAGGTGCCACTGGGCAAGTTGGAACCTCCAACCTTTCAGTTAATAGTTGAGTGCAAATAGCTTGTGCCAGCCAGGGACCTTCCTTTAGTAGGTGGTAGGGGCAATCCGTAAGAGCGTCCTGAGGAGGCAGGACCAAGGTGGCAGAGTGGACTTAGAGGGAAGCTGGAAGAACTCATGCCAGCATCCAGATGGGAAAACTGACCCCAGAAAGGGAGCGTGGTGTGTCTGAACCTGCAGTGTGCCGGGCCCTCTGCACCAGCCCCGGAGGCCCAGGACTCTGCACCAGCCTCAGGAGCTCTCAACAGAGGTGAAACCACAGTCTACAGTCTGTGTCTGCCCACCTCCCAGGGCCCCACTCACATCGACAGCTGGCAGGTGATGGGGAGGGTGTAGCTCCACTCCAGGGGCCCGTTTTCCCGCCGCTGAGTTCCTGCAATGGCCCCAGCTGGCTTCTCCGTGGTGATCCGGTACCTGGGTGAGGCAGGGCCGGGTCAAGGGGACGACAGATTTAGCCTGGGGGGCTCAGAGCACTGCTCAAAGTCACCCAGCTACTGTGAGGCAGCCTGAGTAAATGGAATTTGAGAGGTCGCCTTGCCTTGGGGTGCTCCCCAGTGAAGCTCTTCCCTTCCCCTGCCTCTACCCCCCTTCTACACACTCCACAGCCAGCCTGGCTCCACACCTCTGCCCGTGCTCGTTCTGGCCCCCAATATCATCTCCCTACTGTCAGAGTCCGGCCTTTCCTGACAACCCCAGTCCCGTCTCTTTCCCCTTTCCCTAACCCTAACACGGGCCTACTCAGCACTCCACACAGCTTGGCCCCTGGGCTCAGTGTGGGCGCAGCGACCTTCCGACCTTCTGGCTAATCCATCTAACATCTCTTCTCTTCCCCAAGGGCCACACTATCTCCAGCTACTTCTCCTGCTACTGTCTCAGACAGCAGGGGACCTGGGGCCAGGAGCAGGTTCTTGCCCCACCTTTGCCTGGCAGCCTGTGACCTTAGGCAAGTCACTTATTGAGCCTCAGCTGAGATGTGGTGAGTAGCAAACGGGGGGGAGGGTTAAAGAGACACCCTGATTGGCAGAGTGGGTTGTTATCAATCTCCCACCAGGACAAGGCCAGAGTTCGGCTTCTTGCTTCGTTGACTGATTAACAAAGGATCTGAACGGAGCCTTGCGGCAGGCTGGGGGTGGCAGGGTGGACCAGAGGAGAACCACAGAGTTTGAGGGGGAATAGGAGGGGTGGTGACGTCTTTATGGAGACCCAGCAGGGACCCGTGGGAGAGACGGGCCAGGTGTGTGCCCACTAGAAGGTCCAGGCTTGTGTCCCCTCACTCTGCCCAAGGCCCACCGTACATGATCTCCTTGTTACGTCGCGGCCCACCAAAGGGGGTGAAGGGCAGGCTGCCGGTGGCTGCATGGTACAGGGTCACCCCAATGCTCCAGAGATCCACAGTCACCCCAAACGCCTTCTGCTGGGGCTTGCGAAGTACCGCCCGCTCATACATGTCGGGGTGCTGAGAAGAGAAGCAGAGAGGAGCATGGGGGGCGAGGGTCTGAGCCTCACCCATCAATCACCTTCCACTGCCTTCAAATGAAAACAGAACCATTCAGAACATCTCCTCTGTAACCTCAAAAATGGAGCCTCCCACCCATTGTGTGTTGAGCAGTGTCACTGATGAGCATGTTGTCGTCAGCTGCTGTAGTGTCGATTCTGACTCATGGTGACCCCTGTGATACACAGTAGAACTGCTCCACAGGGTTTTCTTGGCTGTAATCTTTACGGAAGCAAATCACCATGCCTATCTCCCGTGTACCACCGGGTGGGTTCGAACCACCAACCTTTAGGTTAGCAGTTGAGTGTAAACCATTTGTGTCACCTAGGGGACCTCTTGGAATCGACTTGTCAACAGCTAGCAACAAGGGACCTCTTGTAATCTCCAAAGTGGGAGCCATGTTTGCCTCTCCAGAGTATCTCCATCTGCCTGCCCCATGCCCTAGGGAATGGTGACCAGTAGCTTCCGGTCCTCAGTGAGTGTCTGGTCAAGGTGCTAACTGCACAAGGCAGGCTGCGGTCTTGAGAGAACAGAATGAATTCTTTTGGTTGGGGGTCAGGGGTGAGATATAACCCTGTGAGAAGCAGGAGGATGGCCGGACCCCTAAAAGGGGGCTCTAAGGAATCCCCAGGCAATGGCACCCAGCTGCAGGTGAGGCCGCACTCACCAGGTACTCCTCAGTCCCGTAGACTGAGACGAACTTCTCATCGTCATCCAGCTCCCGGGCAGCCCCGAAGTCCGTTAGCTTGTAGATGCTCTGGCCCTCCTCCCCCATGAGGCGCATGATATTTCCAGGCTTGATGTCGCGGTGGACAATGCCATTCTCCCTCAGGTGGTTCATGCCGGCCACTGGGGACACAGAAGGGCTGCTAGCGGCAGGGGCTGGGACCGTCTGGCTCTGAGGCACAGCTTTGTGGGAAGGCGTCCTCAGGTCCAGACGGATGGGGAGATCCATGGGCTGACAGGGCCACAGGAAAAGCAGGGGAACAGAGATGGGCCCAGGCAAAGAAGGGGAGCCGCAGGACATCAAGGAAGGCAGGTACCCACTCCCACAGTGCCCTACCCCTCATTTTATTTTTAAATTGGACTTTTTTTTACTTAAAAAAAATTGAGGAGTTCACATAACAGAAAACGAACCATTTTAAAGTGAACGATTCAGTGGCATTTAGTATGTTCACAGTGTTGAACAGCCAGCCCCCCTAAACTGGAGTTTTAAACCTAACGATAAGCAGGAATCAGACCCCGGGTCCTGCCTCTCTGGCAGCGTTTGTCCCAGCCCCGGGGATGGACAGCTTTAACAGGCTCCGAGTGCTCTTCCCAGTTTGGGTGTTTGTTTCAGAAACGTCACACCCTTCTGAGATGTTGCTAGTGCGAGGGCCGAAGCCTGTGGCCGGTCTGAGATGTGGGGGGCGGGGGGCTAGCCAGCAGGGCTGAGGGAGGGCTCACCCACACAGCGCAGCACCACCAGGAACTCGTCCTCGGGCAGCCCAAAGGCGTTCTCAGGGCTCTCAAGCACGCTCAGCAGGCTCCCGCTGGAGCAGTACTCCATCACCAGCACCTTCTGCCGGCTGCCCCCCTGTGGGCAGACAGAGGGTGGCTTGGACACTGCCGCTTCTCCTCCCACCCACTCCTGTGGCCCAGAATCCAGCCTTCTCAAGAGGAGGCAGCACAGCCTAGAGTCCAAAGCCTCCAGTGTCCTAGTTCCCAGCTTCTGGTCTGGCCTTCCCTCCTCACCTCACACAGATTCTCTATCCTGGCACCCAGCATCACCCCTTCCTGGAAGCCCTCTCTGATTAAGTCCCGTCTTAGTTATCTAGTGCTGCTATAACAGAAATACCACGAGTGGATGGCTTTAACAAATAGAAATTTATTCTCTCATAGTCTAGGAGGCTAGAAGTCCATATTCAGGGCACCAGCTCCAGGGGAAGGTAGTCTCTCTCTGTCGACTCTGGGGGAAGGTCCTTGTCATCTATCTTCCCCTGGTCTAGGAGCTTCTCAGCACAGGGACCCCGGGTCAAAAGGACAAGCTCTGCTCCTGGCACTTCTTTCTTGGTGGTAGGAGATTCCTCTCTCTCTACTCACTTCTCTCTCCTTTTATCTCTTGTAAGAATAAAAGGTGGTGCAGGCCACACCCCTACATCGGATCAGGGCTGTGACCTGAGTAAAGTGTTGCATCCCATCCTAATCCTCTTTAACATAACCTAATCTTGCCTCATTACCCACAGGCAGAGATTAGAATTTACAATACGTAGGACAATTACATCAGATCACAAAATGGAGGACAACCACCCAATACTGGAAATCGTGGCCTAGCCAAGTTGACACATATTTTTCAGGGATGCAATTCAATCCATGACAAGCCCCTCTCTCTGGTATTCTGTACTCCTCTTAGAGTCCCTGGGTGGTGCAAACAGTTAACACGCTTGGCTGCTAACCAAAAGGTTGGAGGTTCGAGTCTACCCACAGAGGCCTTGGAAGAGAGGCCCGGTGATCTACTTCCAAAAAATCAGCCAGTGAAAACCCTATGGAGCACAGCTCTACTCTGACAGACATGGGGTCGCCACGAGTCGGAACCAACTTGACGGCACTGGTTTTTTGTACAGGCAGTCTGCTCCGGCTGACCCACTGATGAGCATGAGACCAAGTCTCTGCTATCAGATCACTCTACTCTCTCAGCCTGGGGTCAAGGACCAGGCTATCCTCCTCTGACCGAGCCCTGGACCCACCGTCTCCTCCACCGCAAAGAGCTTGATGATGTTCTGGTGGTTCAGCTTCCGCAGGACCTCGAACTCCCTCACCTGCACCTCTCGGGGTCGCAGGTAGCTGGCAGTGTTGAAGACCTTCACAGCAACCAGCTCCCCAGATTTCTGCATTGGGGGAGGGGAGGAGTGGGTGACAACATGGAATTAACAGCAAGTCTCACTCCCATCTGAGCAGCCCCTGCTCCCAGGCCTCAGTTCAGCCTCTCCTGCCAGCCTGACACCAGAGGCAAGCCAGGACAGCCTGGGTGGGTCTGGAGCTCCCACCCTCAGCTCCTGCCCCTACTCAGAAGGTAGCCAGTCCAGCCTGGGAGGTGACAAGGGCTTGGCACGCCTGACACGCCTGGCACTCTGCAGGTGATGATTTGCTGTTACTTTACTATTAGGATGCTGGAGTCCCCAGGTGGTGAGAACGGTTAACCCGCTCAGCTGCTAACTGAATGGTTGGAGGTTCCGGTCTACCCAGAGGTGCCTCAGAAGAAAGGCCTGGCTATCTACTTCTGACAAATGAGCCACTGATAACCCCACGGAGCACAGTTCTACTCTGACACACATGCGTAGCCGTAAGTCGGAGTTGACTCGGCAGCAACTGGTTTTTTATTGCTATTGTTATTGACAGTAACGGCAGTGGCAGCTGATTGTCACTGTTAGTGGCAGAACTGGGATTGGAATCTGGTCCGTCTGGCTTCACTTACATATGCAATAGTGGAGCATCGTCTCATATATTCTAACAGCTCTGCAAAGAAGTCAGGATCAACCCAAGCAGGTCCTGTTTCCCTGGACACTTTGCTTTGTGCTTTCATCTCTTTCTCCCCATTCCCACCCAAACAGTCCCTTTCAGCTCCCCACACCTCTGCTCAAACCCACAGTGCCCCTGTCCCCGGCGTGTACAGAACAAAGACCAGAGGCCTCGGCTGGCCACAGGCCTCTCTTGATGCCTGCTGGGGGCTGACCGGGTCTAGGACAGACTGGTGTGGTGGGGGGCGGTGGGGGCCCAGCCAGGTCCGCATCCTACCTTGTTGCGGGCCTTGTACACACTGGCGGTGGCCCCCTGCCCCAGCAGGTCGTCCGTGTGCCACAGGTAGTTGACCGTGCTCTGCATCTCCTGCTCCTGCTGGCCGGCCACCTTCTGCCTGGAAAAAGAGCATGCCTGGGGGTCCTGGATTCCATCAGTGCCTGGAGTGGACACCGGTGGTCTGACCAGTAGCTGTACCCCAGGACCACCCCACAAAGGGCTCCTTGTGGCCATTCCCCAGGCAAAGGGGTGGGGGAGTGTGAAGCACAGAGAGGTTAGGTAACTTCCCCAAAGGAAGCACAGTTCAGCAGCAAGAAGGCCTCCACTTGGCCCACAGCCGGCGCCTGTCTCACCCACAGGACATTCTGCCTGTGCCCTTTTCCCACGTCTCCTCCAGCCCCCTCCCTGGACAGGCCATTCTGAGAGACAAACCTCTTTTCTCTGTCACCTCTCCCAGGCTCTGAGAATTCCAGGTTCCTGGCACCCGGCCTGGGATTGTCCCAGGAAGCTGAAATCTGTTGGAGGGAGGGCCCCGGTCAGGCAGCAACAACCACACCACCACAAATCTCCAGGATTGCAACATGAGCCTGGAGCCCCTCCCCACCCACTCGAAGGGCCCACCACTTCCTGCTGCTGTGAGCTAACAGCTGCTTCCTGGGCAGCCAGTACCACCAGGTCAGGGCTGCTCCAGGGTCTGTGAGTGAGTGTGTGTGTACCTGAGTGTGAGCGTGATTGTGTAAGTCAGCATGCGTGTGTATGTGTGACCAAGTGAGTGTGGGAGTGTGGGAGTGGTGGGGGGTAGGAGGCCATTCAATGGAGGATCTGAAACCCCTCCAGAGCTCCCTTCCACACCCCTGCACCCATCCCCTTCTCTCCAGGGGCCAGTTCCTCTAAACCCATCCCTTCCAGGGAAGTTCAACTCAGTGACTCTTTGAAAAACAGAGCCAGGGCTGGTCTTTTTGAGATGACTGGGGAAGGGGCCTAAGCAGGCCACCATCCCTTAAGAGCTCTCAGGTAAGGCTGGCCTAGCCGAGGGCCTCCTGTCCTCACATCCTATAGGTTCTTAGTGGTCTGGAAACCTGCCACCCTCAGCCTTCTCTCTGCAGTCTTTGTTAACGATGTAAATCTTGTGAGAATGTCAGTGCCTTGTGCCAGAGGCCACATAATCTATTAGTGCTTCCATTTTACAGAAGCAACTAAGGAAGTGCAAGATGCCCTCAAGATGCTATAAAGGCCGAGGGGCCAGTTCTTTCTCCTGAGGGTGAGAAGGAGTCAGCCTGGGGGTGTGTGGGAGTGTGAGGCTGAGAGAGCACCCTGAGATCAAGGCAAAGGGCCAGCCCAGGGCGCTGGAGGGCAGCAGAGTTCACCATCTTCATCATCCTGCTCAGGGCTGTCCTCAACAGGGGTTCCGGGGCTGGGTACAGCTAAAGACCCCAAGGTATGGGGCCGTGTGGTGCAACGCCAGCTGGGGCGTCTTGGTCCTGCAGCCCTGTGCTTAGAGCGGCTCTCCCCAGAGGCCCCCAGCACAAGCTGGTGCTCAGAAGGGCTCAGTGACATGCGGTGAGCAGCTGGATGAATGGGTGGTGGACGGTGGAGAGGTGAGCCAGCTGCCCCGCCCACTGACTCCCACCATCTCTTCTGTGGCCAAGTCCACACTTACCCCACGTTCTGAGCGGCCCGGGTCAGGCAACGACTCTCCTCAGCGAGGGTGCGTTAAGCTCTGTCGATAGCAAGTCCAGGGGCTGAGCTACACCGGAAGGAGAAGGGCGGATGAGAGGCACCCCTCTGTGTCTGCGGTGCAGTCTGAGTCTCTGCCTCCATCAAAGGCCCCGGCCCCGGCCCTTTAACCCTTTCCTGTTTGTCTCCCTCCCACAGGGCAGGGGGTTTCCAGCCCTCCTCCCCAGCTCTTCCGTAGACTTTCCTCACCTCTCCCATTCCCGGGCCTCGGCCAGGGAGAAAGACCCCAGAAGAGGGGAGGGCAGGCCCCAGAAGCCGGGCAGGAGGACAGCACAGGGCCTGAAACCACACACTGGCTCCAGGGGGTTTGGAAATGGAGAGCTGGGGAGGCAGTGTTGGTGGCCGACAGCTCCTGGCAGCTCCCCCTCGACGCCACACCCTCCCTGCCACTCACTGGCTTCCAAGCCGGACAGATTACCCAATAAGCAAGGTACGCACGGGCTTACTCGTGTTCACTTACTAATCTGTAGTGCACACTTTCAAACCCATGTGAAACTGTGCACTATGGATTAGTCAGGAAACACAAGCAGACCTGCGTGTACCTTGCTTACTGGTTAATCCGCCCGCTTCCAAGCAGTCCCTTCCAAGGGACAGCACAGGGCACCCCTGGGGCCCCCAGCAGCGCAGAGAGATACGGGGAGAGGGCGCTGGGCCCAGAGAGCCACTGCAGACACACCCCGCACCCACCTGAGGGCTGCCCTGCAGCTGTCCCCACGCTGCCAGGCTCCCTCAGTCCACCCTACCACGGACCCTGCACACTCACCCCATCTCGGTGCCAGGGGACGCGGGCTTGTGGGACTGGGTAATACCCCCAGAGCTTTCCAGGCTCGCTGTCATTCAGGGCAGCGCCCATACCATCCTGGTGGCCTTGGGGCCCAGATACCTGCAGGCTGGCCAAGTTGAGGGGCTAGGCTAGAGGGTTTCCTGCCTGCCTTTGGCCGCCAGACACCCAGCTTCACTCTAAGCCCAGCTCGCAGCTCTCTCACACTTCCTGATTTTGTTCTGTCTCTCTCTTAAAGAGACAGAGGCAGCCTGGCTGCCGCTGTCCCCAGCAGGAAGGAGAAAGAGGACGCTCCAAGTGCCCAAGTGGAGGCAACAGGGCCAGAGTCTGAGGCACAAAGAGGCCAGGAAGTGGGGCCTGGGTGGCTCTGGAGGCCTCTGGGTGCTGTCCTGGCATCTCCGGAAGTTCACTGGACTAGGGAAGTTCAGGGCTCTGCCTGGGGCCAAAGAGCAGGTTGGGCCAGTTAACCAAATGGAGAGCTTCCTGAGAAGGCCAGCTTCCCACACTGGAGCCTGGGAGCCCTGGGAGGACCAGGGCCTACGCCTGGCCACACCCAGGAGAAGTGGGAGCTGACTCACCTTCCCGAGGAGACTGCAGAGGCCCAAGGAAGAGACCTGGGACCCAGACTGTGCCAACAGTGTGACCTCGAGCACAGCACATGATCTCTTAGCAAGTTTTCTTATTCATGACATGGGGTAGTAACACTCCCTGCGTTGTGTGGATGACATGAAACTATATATTTGGATATACTTGGGAAACTGCAAAATGTTTTACAGGCAGGCATTGAGGTCCACACACCTTCAATAATTTGCCCATGATCTTCAGAGACTGCTGGGCTGGAACCCAGGTGTGCCAGCTTCCAACTCAGGACTCAATGCCCTAAATCAAATTTCCCAGGAGGCTGGAGAGGTCTTCACTGCTCTGGCCAGCTCTGAGATGGCAGTTGGATAAGAAATTGTTAAAACCAGGAAATTCCATGTTTCTATTGAATGTTGGAAGGGACTTTCCCATGGCCACACCTGGTGGCTTCCTCTGCCAGCCCCACTCCTACCACAGTGACACTAGGACAGGAGCCAGGCGGAAAGCTGCCTTATGCTCAGGTAGAGACAGCTGCTGATCACACCAGCAGCTAGAGGTGTCACTGCTGGGTCCTACCCAAAGGTGCTGCACTGCAGATTCCCACAGCAGGACCAGAAGAAACGTCCTGGGGTCCTCATGCTCTTCGCCCATCATCCCCAGCTTTCCACCTGCCTGGCATGTTGCACTTCCTTGGCGTTCCTGTGATTGATGGGGCCATGATTTCTAGGCCAAAATATTTACTTGCTGATAGTAGACTCCCCCCTCCCTGAGCTCCTGCAGTCTGACACTATGATTCTGTTGGACATGGTGGCTGCTCCATTGGCATGGGCCCCTGACTATCGTGAGCAGAGCCCCCTGCTGGCCCACGGAGGACATGCAGCTTCGATGAGAAATCAACCTTTGTCGTTTTAAGGATTCCTCCGGTGGTGGAAGTGGTTATGTGCTTGACTACTAACTGAAAGGTTGGCGGTTCAAACCCACTCAGAGGTGCCTCAGAAGACAGGCCTGGTGATTGGCTTCCAAAAGGTCACAGCCTTGAAAATAGGATGGAGTAGTTTTACTCCGCACACAGGAGGTTGCCATGAGTTGGAATCAGCCTGCTGACAACAAACATGTTTTATGCCACTGAGGTGTTGAGGTTGTTATTGCAACATAACCTAGCCTATCCTTAACGCACTTCTCCCTGATGAATCTGCTCAGTCCTCGCCAGCACACCGGATCTCTCTTTCCCAGTGTCTTTAGCACCTTCACGTGTAACAAACATGTGCCCAGCACCTTCGGTGAATCAGGCACTGTGCCAAGGACACCACGGAGGTCAAGCACCACTCCCCCTGGCCCCCCAGCCCCAGGAGTTCAGGTGAGGGCTCTGATACAGATACTTCGGCAGATGGTGATTTTGTAAACCTGGAGGAAGGGGCAGTGTGGGGAGGTCAAGAAGGGCTTGGCAGAGGAGGGAGTGCTTGGCCAGACTTTGGAAGGGGAGGAGTTAAGCAGAGAAGAGGGGGTTCAGAGGTAAGGTATTCCAAGTGGTGGGGACACGTGCAGAAGCACAGAGGCACGGAAAGAGCGGGACTTTACAGGGTGAGCATGGCAGGGCTTCAGAAAGACGGAGAGGTGGAAGGGGGGCTGGAGCTGTCTGCAGTGACAGATTTCCATTGGGCATCCTCTGTGAGGTCGCCTTGGACAAAATGAATGTCTTGCCCGTGATTTTGAACTGCTGGGCCCCAGATGGGCAACATGGCCAGTGTTTCATTGGGGGAGGGGGAGGGGTCTGACAGGCTCCTGAGGGAAGAGTCTGTAAGAGGCTCTGAGGAGTCATAGAAGCACAAGTGGCAATTCACAGGCAGTATAAGGACCAGAGGCAGGAAGAGAGGAGTCGCTGGCAGGGCAGCAGCTCTAGGAAAAAATCTCCCGTTTGCCTTCTACAAAGGGAGGCTGAGTGGTACAGTGGGAAGGGCTTCATCATCGGCGAGGCCTCGGTTTGAGTCCTGACTCTAACAATTTGTGTGATTTTCAGCAAGTCACTCAAACTTTCTGAGTCTCAGGATGACAATCATAACACCCATCCCACAGGGGGGGTGTGACGTACAAAACGAGTTGAAGTGCCTGGGACCTGGATAAACACTGGCTGCTTTTGCTGCCCCTATGTCGGCTGAGCCTGTTTCTCACAGCTGACTCACCTGCCTAGTGCCCTAAAGGGGAAGGATTACGGAAAGGGTGGGTGTGTGTAGGGGGGGGGTTGTAAGAGCAGTGTGTCCTTGCTGTGTTCAGTCACAATAGGAAGGGCTGAGTGAGGAGGTCACAGGATGGCTCCTAGTCACCTTCAGGAGTCAGCTCTCACCAGGCGCTTTCGAGGGGATGAAGGGAACAAATACTCCACGCAGACCTGGAGCTTCTCCCCAAGCAGTGGAGAAGGAGCTGTGGGAGTGGCATCCAGGCCGCTGAAGGACACCGGCCCACATGCCACCACACAGTCCTTCCTAGTCTGTAAAAATGAGTATTTCATCACTCGTCTGACTTTTCAAACCTCCTACGCACCATTCTCTCCTACACTTTCAGCTAAAGACTTTCTCTTAAACTTCACAGAAAAAAAAAGAAGCAATCAAATGGGAACTCCCTCATTTTCTCACCCTCTCATCCACTGACTGTCTTGTATCTGTATTCATACCTGCCTTCCCTTCTAGGAGGCTGAAGGAAATGCCTCTTCTCCTGGCCATGGCCAAGCCTTCCACTCACTCTCCTGAAAGTTCCTTCTTCCTGTTCTAGTGGATCCTCATCCTTCCCGTGTCTCAACGCCGCCCATCTTAAAACCAAAACCCAAACCTGGTCCTTCGACGCCTCTTGCTGCTCCCCACTCAAAGCAACACTTGAATGAGTTGACACTAGTTAGGGACTTCCCTTCTTCTCTTCCTATTTGCTGCCCAGCCTACTCCAATCAGACTCATTTCCCTTCTGCTCAAAGTGCTCTTGTCCAAATCACCAAACAATTACTTTTCTATAGCAGCTTCATCTCATTCCACTGGCATTCAACAGTAGATCCTTACCTCCTTGTTGAAATATGGCCTTCTCTTGGATTCTGTGCTCTTGGAGTCACGGACCTCCCTACCACGCTGTCTTCTTTGCTGGCTCCTTCTCCTTTGCTAGATTTCTAACTGCTAGAGCCTTCTCTTTTTTCCATCTACATGTTCTTCCCAGAAATTTAATAGTTTGAATACATTATAATGTAATAGCTCCTGAATTTATTTTCAGGTATGATCTCTCCCTAAAACTCCAGATTCATATGTTTAAGAGTCTACTTGATATTTCTACTTGGATGTCTAGTAGACATCCCTACTCCATCATGCCAAGCAGGATTCTTGATTTCCCACACGACTCCCTTCCCCACAGCGGCCTTTCCTGATACAGGCACCATCTTACCACCCTGTTTCGTTTTCTGAGTACCACTTATTTTGCTTATTTGTCTTTCTAGTGTATAACATGGAGCCCTGGTGGTGTAATGGTTAAGAGCTTGGCTGCTAACCAAAAAGTCAGCAGTTCAAATCCACCAGCTGCTCCTTGGAAACCCTATGTGTAGTTCTACTCTGTCCTACACAGCCGCTATGAGTTGGAATCGACTTGATGGCAATGGGTTTGTTTTTTTCCTTTTTCTTTTGGTTTTAGCGTGTAAAATGGCTAGAATGAAAGCTCTATGACTCGTATTTCCTGCTCTACACTGTGGGACAGTGCCTGGCACAGAGAGAAGCTTACTGTTTATTGACTGACTAAATGAATGAGTCTTCGGAATATGTAAAATGGCAAGATTGCTAACTCCTGAGTAAAAGGAAACCTCATATACCTATGGATATAAACATTTAGATTAGATAATCTTAAAGACCATTTCCTAAACTCACACCCATCCTTTTCTGGTTTCTATCTGGATAGAACGGCCTATGTTTTGACTGCACTCATTGTCAACTGGGACTCCGAGTGGTGCAAACAGTTAATATGCTCACTGTTATCCAAAAAGTTGCTGATTCGATTCCATCAAGAGGTACCTCGGAAGGAAAGCCTGGTGGTCTACTTCTGAAAAATCAGCCGTTGAAAACCTTATAGAGCACAGTTCCACTCTGACACACATGGGGTTGCCATGAGTTGGAGTCAACTCAAAGGCAACTAGTTTTTTTTCCATTGTCACTAGTTTCCATCAAAATAGATGAGCTGAATTAAGAGGACCCTAAAAGAACAGCCCACCTTTGCCCTGGGTTCTTTGGAAAGACTTTGATCCTCTGCTTATAGCATAACTGGCTCCATCTCACAGCTACTCTGGGGTGCTCCTGGCCACCCCCACTCTCCTTGTCACCGACACTCAAGGAGTGTGAACTCACATTCCACAGGGTGGCAGAAGAGCCTCAGTTTCGACTTACCCAAGGCCAAGGGTCCAGCTAGAGAAGCTATACCCTCAGGACATAGCTGTAGCACTACAGTGGGGGAGGGAGAAGAGATGACAAAGCTAAGCCAAGGATATAAAGTGTCCAGTCTAGGCCTGGGAGTAGGGTTCCTTGTATCACCATTGATCAACTGCAGTGGGCACTCCCTGGGTTGTGAGAGATTTGATCCATCTTCAGGAACTTGTGGTATTAAAATAAGTCCACTAAAAATAAGTGTGGGCCCCGGGGGCTCTGGGAAGCATTCTAAGTTGTCTCCTTTGAAAAACTTCACCCCTGAACTTAGGCTCTGCTGGAATCAAAAGCTAAAGGAGAAAAAGCATCTCCTGTATCCTTCCTGCACCCCCCAAAATTCAACACCAACAGCACAGGCATACTGGTCAGCTCTTCTCCCACAGGCAGGGGGCTGCCAAGAGCAGAATGACTCAGGGCTTTTGTTGTGGAAGAAATAAAACCTTCACGCACCCTTGGTTGTGGCTAGCAAGGCTTCCAAGGAACTCCTTAGCCCCTCTCCTCCAAGCAGGGACATCTGACTACAGATGGAAATGAAAACAGTTCTTACGGAAAACAGGGAAGGTGGATTCTGTGAGGGAGATGGTTCTCATGGCAACAGACTGCCCAATGGGGAGCCAGAAGACTGCCTACAAATCCTCTCAGGTTCCACACACAGGCTAAATAGCAATGCTAGGGAGGGAGGGGGAAAGTCTATTTCCTAAATGCAACTCTCAGTTTTGGCGGGGGAGGGAGAAGGCTCCTGAAGTCACCTCATTTCTCCTTCTGTTGTCAGGTAAGGTTCTGTTAGCATGGACGAATCAAAATCCCTCCTAGGCAGCAGGACTCCTGGCTCAGAGATTTCAGGGAGTGGGGAAGAGATATGAACTGCAGCATGGAAACCTAAAAATGTATTTTATTTTGAAGTTGTGCTTTGGATTTTCCCCAATCCAACATCTGTTGAGTGACAGTCTTAGGTTCATACAAAGCATCTCCAAGCATACATACAATATTCCAGTTATCAACACTATTTTAAAGAATATACCATTTTACACAAACGTGACATACAAGTCAGACGCCACAACATTGCAATTCCCTGGAAGATCTAATTTCTCTTCTGAACATTAAGTACGTATACACCAGCCCTTCCAGCGGTCTGTTCATCTTGTTGCTGGCGTCATCTCTCCTCTTCTCCTTGGGGAGGAACCAGGGCGCCCTGAGGAGGTTGGCTGAGACCAGTGTTTCCAGTTTACAGGCTGCTGGCTGCAAACTCCTGTTTTCCAAATGAGGATGCTGGCAGCCCCACCCCACCTCTCTCCCAGAAAGACTGACCCTTCAGAGTTCACACCAGGAAGAGGATCCGTGCCACGAGAGGCAGAGCAGGGCTCTTTGATGCATCACGCTGGTTTAGGCAGACATAACCGAGGAAGCCTGGTCTCCCTAGGCCCTGGGTGGCCAGCTCCTTTTGGCTTTTTGGTGTAAAATCACAGTGTGCAACCTCAATTCCAGTTGATTGCAATGAGCTCTGCCAAGAAGGACTCTCTTCCTGTGGGTCCCTAGTCCTCTCGACAGGACCATCTCACAGGTGTCAACAGCACCAGAGATGGGGAAGACAACTCGGCTCCCAGGGTCGGGAGCTAAGACTTGGTTTAGTAGGTGACCACTCACACACTGTTCAGTTCATGATGCAAATAAGCAGATGCACACTGACCAAGGGGATGGTGAACACAAGTCATGTACAAGGATGAAACAGAAATAAGGCAGGAAGCAACAGAATAGGTCCAAAACTTTGTCATTAAGAAAGCTTTGCCTTTACTTTCTCAGAGGTGAGTGTACTGGAGAGGGGACAAGGGCAAGTATGGGTACCAATTTGATCAGTTGGATTAAGAGGAATGTAAAGTGAAGGGTGGGGTTTCATTTTTGGCCAAGGAAACAGGTCCTTGGGTATGAAAGTCCCCTGTTGGCTCAGGACCTGTGTAAGCCCAGGTGACAGAGCAGGACAGGCCACTAAACAGCAACAAAACCCAAGAATTCAAAGGACTGTGGGTTGCCTCTTACAGGCTGACTCATTGTACTACAAAAGTCTTTAGTTCTCCCTTCTAGCTCTTGGAATTTTTCCCCTGGAACAACTGTTACAGAATATCCTTCTAATTAGTGATTTCCCACAAAGCAACTCTTTTTCTTCATACAGAATGGAAAATCCACCATCTTCCATAGATCCAACTACCAACTTCAAAAGGTTGGTCTAAAATTATCTTCTAGGCCAAAGAGAAGAAAATTCAGATTTTCCTCCCTAACGGCAACCCATCATCTCTCGCGAAGTATAGAAAGCATTGAGGCTTAAAGCACAGTTTTAAAACTAGAAAACATAAGAGTTTCAGCTTTAACTCAAGTAGCTGTCTGAGACCCATGAGCCTAGGATGTAAATGTCTCCAGCCTGGTACTCCTGGCATAGCAGGGGCGGGGACTAGTGGGCACCAGGTTTGGAGACTGCATTAGAGCAGACAAGGGTATCATTTTCTCCTTTGGGAGGGGAATCAGAAAAAAGGCCAAAATATACAGCAACCAATATTTTATTTACTTCAGATTCTGGCCTTAGGAAGACTTAGAGCTGTGGAGTCCAACTCCCTTAGTTGTTCTTGTTAGACAGGGACAGTGTCTCTCTCTTTAATCAAACTCCAGCTCTCTAAGCCCTCTTGGTCCCTGAAGAGAGACCTTGTATAATAATCAAACTTAGGGCTAAATATAGAACAAGTGTTCACTAGGACAATTTTTGGGTTAGCAAAGCTGATTTTTTTGTTTTTAATATATACATAGGATAATGAATTTTATGTTTTAAGTGCCTAAAAAAGTAGGAAGAGGAAGGACCCATTTCTTACCTTTTTCAAACCTGCCATATATATAATAAAACTCTTTTAAGATTCTTTACCCTAAAAGGAACCAGCTATAAAACTGTCTTATACAGGAAAATGTCTTAAATGGAAAATGGTCCATCAGAGACGAAGATAAGAACCCGAGAAATGTCTGTACATTCAGAAAAACGTTAGAAGCTCCTTAATAAGAGTGGGTTGTACTTCCAAAGGATGGAAGGGAGGAGAGCAAAAGCAAACACCAATGACCAATACACACCAATAGAAAGAAGACAGATTACAGGACTGAGTCCCATCCTGCTAAACTCAATACGATGGAGAGATTTCAAAGGCTAGGCTCTCTGGCCCAGACAGAACAAGGATGTAATGGAAACAGAGACCCCTGGTGGCTCCTGTGTGAACTGCCACAATAACTTACAAAGAGACTGGTCTAGAACCAGGAGAGGCTACACATGCCAGAGACTAGAAAAACCTACAAGTGTAAGTGTGTGTGTGTGTGTGTGTGTGTGTGTGTGTAAGACAAAGAATGGACTATCTATGATTCTCTATAGTCAGTACCCAAAACAAGACGCCACTGGGAGTTGGATGTCGGTAGCCAACCATCTGGTCACGCATCCCCTGTGGCTTGAGCCCACATCGTCATGGCTTGCCTTGCCAGATTTCACAGTGACCTGATAATGAAGAAGTCTATCTCCGACTAACCTAAGAATGGTACGTACTGGAGCTGGCTGGATTACGACGACTGGGGGAAGCAGAGGACGGGGGATGGGAAGGTAAGGTAGGGGCATTAACAAGGGCATCATTCTCAAGGTTTTGGGTGATGGGAGGCTAATTCCTGCAAGAACAACTTAGAATCTAATTTTCAACTGAAGTCCCCAAGCTAGTTAAATAGGAAGATTGTAATAACAGTCTTCAGTCCCTACAGTCCCCTTGTCTAGAACAATTAAATTATATCTATCAGACAGTACAAGACTTGTCAGTGGACTGTGGGGAAGCTGATGAATTGACAGCAGGGCTAGTGGCATTTGTTTTGGGGAAGACGGCAGGCTTGGGTCGGGTGGCTGGTGGTTTGACTGGGGCAGCCATCTTGACAGACTTGACAGGCCGGAAGGTGCAGGCGATGTCCCCAGCAGTGCTGGCGCTGCGCTGGAAGGCGGGCTCAGGGTCCTTGAGGAGCTGGGCGTGCAGGGGGCTGGAGGGCTCTGATGTGGGGGCCCCCACTGGGGAGGTTTTGAGGGGCTCCAAGGTGTCCAGAACCACGTCAGGAGTGTGCTTGACGCTGCTCTGCCGCTCCAGCTCCCGCAGCTCATTCAGGGCAGAGTTCATAGTTGCCTCAATGTCCTGCAACACAGGAGAAGGGAGGAGTTGAGGCCAATCCAGGGAAAGCCCCAAGGACTCTGTTTCAACAACCTAGGCCAAATCATGAAGATACCAACTGCAAGGAGATGTCCAGGTTATTTTAGTTGGTCACAGTCCTTGAACATACTAAATGCTCACAAGGTGGGGGCTGAGGGCATGAAGGATTTTCACTGTCATGAATTTTGTTTCAGAAAGAGTAGTGTTGTTGCGTGCTGTCGTGTCAATTCCGACTCATAGTGACCCAGTAGGACAGAGTAGAACTGCCCATAAGCTGTAATCTTCATAGGAGCAGATCCCAAGTCTTTTCTCCTATGGAGTGGCTGGTGGGTTCCAACTGCTAACATATCAGTTAGCAGCCAAGCACTTCAACCACTGCGCCACCAGGGCTCCTTAGAAAGAATAGTAGAGATATTTTTTACAAAAGAGTCCTCAGGCTGTAGAGCTACATACTGAAATATTTACGGATGGACAAAATGACATATAATCCAGTGGGGACAGGAAAGGTGGGAGGGAGCATACATGTGTACGAGTGGCCTGGAGTTCGGTAATGAGTATGTGGGTACTCACTATCCAACTCTCTCTACTTCTGTTTATGTTTGAAATTGCAATAAATACTTTTTTAAAAAGTAGTAGAGATGAAGTATGATCTTTTGTTCTCCAGGACCTGAGGGCCGAAGGTCAAAAGAGGTCAGTCCTTCCTCCTCAAGGGCTGAGGGAACGTTCCAGTACCCTGTCTCTGAAGATTCATCAGGACCTCTGCCCCCATCAACTCATGGGAGTGACCAATTTGGGGAAGCTGTTTTCTTCTACCCATCACCATGGCAGAGAGGGGATCACAGAGTGACCAGGAGGGGGAGCCAAAGCCCACACAGGTGAATCGCCCTCGGCAAGTCACAGTAGAATACTCCAGATCTGAGCAAACAGCAGTCCTAGCTCTGGGGCTCAAGGCAGAACCAAAGAACCTTTGTATGCAAGCCAGCTGTTTCCCAGAGAGACCTCCCAGCTCTCTCCCTTCCCTCCCCACAAATGTGTGTCTGGCACCCTATACCACCAGAAGACTCCTCTCTTGGGATTAGGCTGACACTGAAAGATTGTGTGTCCAAAGGTGAGACATGCTTTCTGTTGGCAGTGATTCAATCTCATTCATCCCTACAATGTTCTAAAACCTTAACAATGCTCAGGAAGAACTCCCTCTCCCTCCTCATTCCCACTCTGCAGCTATAGCCTGTCCCAGCTGTGTACATATTCGGACACTGCTATTAGCACCTGGCCAAAGAGGGAACTGAGAGGATTCTCACGGTGCAAGGCAGACTGCAGCCAAGAGCTTAAGTAAAGGGACAGAAATAGAAGGCTAGCAAAGCAAAACATCTCAGGCCCGTAGCTTAATACTGTGCTTGCCAGGTACACCTCCCGTAAGCAGAGCACCACCATTAAGCCCATAAAGACCATACCCAGCCTCTATTGTCCCCTAGGAGATGGGGTGAAGAGACTCTCAACTCAGTTGAGACATGAGGACTACAGTGAATGAGCCCTTTGTTCCTACCTGGTCTAATGAAAATTATAGAGTTGGGAGAGACGTCTGAATGAACTGCTTCGAGTGGCCCCGGTAGCCGGATTTTTAGAGGTGGGGTTGGATCTCTAACGTTTCATGGAAAACAGAGAGTCGTCAGTGAGGTGCATATATGGAAGAAAGAGCCTATAATCAGGCAACTCATCTCCACTGCATCGGAGACCTGGGTTGGACCCTTTTCTGCTACTCGAGCCCCCAGCAGCAGAGTATTTCTCAGCCTTCAAGATCAGGAGCAGATCGTTGATTGATCATCTACCCATCAGGGGCCCAGAGATCAACCTTGGGAAATGGGATGATGGGAAAAGCAGAGTGATGTAAAAATGTGGCCAGATCTACACCTAAGCCTCAACCCTCGGGCACTTCACTGAAGTCTACCAGGGTCTCAAGACCAAAAACTTGGGTTATAAGGATCTGAATGTATTCTATCAAAGTACTGTATTTATAACAACTGGCTTTAAAAATTATAACAGCCTTACAAATAGCCAGTGTGTGAGCAAGAAGCCTGAATTTATTCTGCCTCCAGGTTCTTCCTGGGGAGAGAACAGACAAATTGCAGGGAAAGCAGCTCCAGATGTCCAACAGTCCCTGACTCAGTTTATAATGTACAAAGCACCGTTTTGTCCCAGGTGCTGTGACACTTAGTGTAGGCTGCACTAAGCAGTAGTGACAACTGTAGACTCATGCTAGGTGTTCATCCAGGAGCCCCCACTTACCTGTGCAATGACCTCTGGGTCCACGGGCCGATGGTTATTGAAGCTTTTTGACCTTCCGGCTGTCACCGTCTTCCGGATCTGTGGACTGTCCAGCCGATTCTTCAGGGATGAGTGGCGGCTGATGGAGTTGAGGCTTCCGTGCCCACTGATGGAACACTTATCGGGCGCTTCCTTGGGGAGACTCTGGCTCATGATGGGCTGGGAGGATGGGCGGCAGCTGGCCCCCATCCCTGGGGAGGAGGAGTCCGTCAGGGAGCTGCTCAGCCCATGGCTGTCACTCCGAAATGTTTTCCGGATGTTCCCAGCTTCTGGCCGCTTCCTCTGCCTTCAATCACAAAGAGAAAGGGCGGTGTGATCTGGGAGCCCCGGCTCTGAGGAAGCGAGGACGAGTGAGACAGGGCCAGGTGGTTGGCACCCAAGACTTTCTGGAAGGACAGGGAGACAGAGCATGCTGCCTCCTTGGTCTCGCCTTCACTTGCTCTCTCCGTCTCTGCTCCCCTGCCACCCCCAATCTGGACAAAGGAGAACGGATACTTACTTGGTAGCTGTGAGTTTTGTGTTCTCAAGATGTAAGGTGCTGTCAGAAAAAATGTCTGATTAAGTGAAACTTTAACGGGAGAAAGACTCATGGAAAGGCCCCCTCCATGGCTGCTCTGAACAGAAGCCGAAGGTCCCAGGCGGAAGAAGGATTCTCACCATCACCAAGGAAGTGGAGGATTGATGGGAAGAAGAGTGGCGATTTTTCCCAATTTTAGCATGTCTCTTGGTCCAACTACAATAATCATTTTGGGCTCCAGTAAGAGGCTGTTGCTTATTCTGCAGACGTGGAACAGAATATTTTTAAAGAGGATTCAATGCTGCAGAGTTAGGGCCAAGTTTGTGCATTTTCTTGGGGTGAAAATACATCCTCATCCTACTACATTCTGAGTCATTGAGGACTGGGTTAAACCCTGGCTCTGGCACACTGTGATCACTTCAGACCACATAGGGCTCTTACATGGAACAACCTGGCCTTCCTTGGGGGGCCTCTAGTTATATGGCTGTTGCCTGCTGCTGAATAATTTCATTTTCTGTTGGCATCAGATTTTAATGAACCTAATCTAAGAAGCAATGGAACTTGTACTTCAGGACAGCAGCTGGGCATCTCTGATCTTGAATCTGCTAAGGGAGATTTGGGCTGAGGCAGGGGCTGAGGATGGAAAAAGCAAAGGAGTGGGGCTCTGAGGTGTTCTAAGACTGTCCTGATCCTGTTCATGGGAGAGGTCTTCCTCATTTCTCCATGCCTGGGGCCTGGCCTAGAACCTGGCCCAGAGCAGCTACTCCACAAACGTGCCTTCTCAGCAGTTTCCACTTTGTGAGCCAGCTGTCCTTGAGTGAAAAAGGATGTCCTCAGAGTCTTATAAGGCCTAGCGGAGATGACCCCACCTCTGCAGTCTTCCCAGGACCACTAACTCCAACCTCAGGCAGACTCCATCACTCCCTCCTTTGTTCTTTCAGAGCATCGATGGCACCTGTATGTATCCTATTGACCTTGCCAGACTGTGCGCTCTGAGACCACACACCACGTCTTATTCATCTCTGAATAATCAGCATTGGTCTTTGGCATACAATAGGTACTTAATAAATGTGTGGAACTAAAGGGAAATGTCACACCCTAATAACACTTTGCTAATTTCCTTTCCCACTTGAGGATGGCCGACTTGCAAAGCTAAAACTGCTGAGAAAGCACAGTGGTGGAGTGGCTGCTCTAGGCCCGGCCGGGGCAGGCCCTGGGGGTAGAAGATGAGGAAGAGTTCCTGCTTTCAGGGAGCTCTCAGTCTCGCAGGGATCTGAGCGTGGAGGGATAGATGCTACCACACAGGTACTCACAATGCTTTGGGAATACAGAATAAGGGCACCTAACTCAGCCCTGGGGAACTCAGGGGTGTCAGAAAGGCTTGCCCAAAGAGGTCTATCTGTGGCCTGAGTCTTGAAGGAGGAGAAGCAGTTGACCAGGGGAGGATTCAGCCTGTGTAGAGGCCCAGATGTGAGAGAACACGGTGCCTTCAGGAAACTGAAGGAATCTGGAGGGAGTGGAACGTGGGGGCAGGAGGTGAGGCTGAAAAGCAGAGTCACTTCTGCGGGCAAACGTGCCCAATGGCTGCTCTGCTGCTTTCCCGCCTACTCTCTGGGGTCTGAAGAGGCCACAGCAGAGGCTTGTCCTCCAAGAACCCCATAGCGAGAATCCTGACACCATCAAGCAAGGAGTTTATGGGAACTGCCTTGATTTTCCACCAGATGTTCATCTTTTGACTATTTCATCTATTGGTGTCTACAAGTCCTTTGTACAAATGGCATCGATTATATGATGGCTTAAAAATATGTACCTAACTAATTATCTAATTCTCCCTCCACCAATCCTGCCTTGGTTTCTGGGTTAATTACTGGCTTCTGATCTTGGGATTATAGGCTTATAATGAACACAGGATTGTAAGGAAGGGAAAAATGTGATTAGCCCACAGTTGCTCTTCACTAGCTCACCAGCCCAGCAGGGCAGTATGCTGGAGGGAAATAACTAAAGTCCTCCATCTTTTCTGACTGGCCTGACTTCAATGATAACTCCACTGAGTTAAGTGAGCTGAATAAGCGACTTCGCTAACTTGAGGGTGAAAAGGATGGAAAACAGCCACGTGCCCCAACCACACCCCCTGCTACCGCCTGGTTGGAAAAAAGCCAAGAGATCTGGGCGACCTGGTGTGGTTTAAAGACAACAAGCATCTTTTATTCTCCTTCCAGTTTCAGCGTCCAGAGGCTACGGTTAACAGGGTTTCCACGTGCAAATCGTTTCATTCCTCCAAAGCCAGAGGGGAATAAAAGCTGTACATCATCTCCAATCCATATTCATCAGGAGTGCCCTGGCGCTTGTCATCCCGCTGGCACGGGGCCAAGTTTCAGGGTCTGGCGGAAAGAGGTCTGTAGGCTTTGGGACTTGGTGTCTGGCCCCTTGAGATGAGATTAGTGCTCCAATAGCCTGAACGTCTCTAGGGGCAGCAGCACACAGGCTTGGAGTCCCTCTAGACGGCCAGATCGGGTGTGGGTGGAGTGAGAACCCCGGTGTTGCTAACAGCCACAAGGAAAGCTGGAGGTCAGAGTTCAGAGCCTGTGGAGAGGAGTGGGGATCTGCAAAGGGACTGGACAGGGCACAGTGATACACAGGGCTAAAGCAATAGGGGAAAAAAACAAAACAAAACAGGACAATTCTTTCTACTGGTGTGAAAGGGTAGAATAAAAGGGAGCTCGGGGTTAGGCAATGAGTAAGGAGTTCCCTAAAAAGCTTTCCCTGGGGGCACAGTGGTCTCCTTTCCTCCAGGAGTGGACGCAGGACAGCGGGAGACACAGACATACAGTATCAAAATAAACCCACCCGGGGCAACAGTGGCCTAGTGGAAGACACACAAGACTTTGAGTCTCTGGGCAGATAAGGGGCAAGGGGGACATCACAGACCATGATTTCAGGAAGAACTAGAAAAGAGGAAGCACCTCAGAGGAAGAGAACGAAACTGAGCTGCATAAAAGGACCAAAGCTTTGGCCAAAGTTTCAGCCATAAGATTGCCTGGATGATCTGAGCTGAGACATGGCAGCAACAGAGAGAAGAGCACCCTTCCACAGCATGACAGCAGCTAGCGGAAGCCCTGGACCTGCTGACGAGGCCTGCAGAAGCTTCCTCAGCCATGCAGGCCGTTAGGCTGGGGGAGCTGGCCCTGAGTGCAGCACAGACATGGAGGGGGGTTAGGCCAGAGGTGAGGCTGGGTGTGGCGAATCATTCAAGGGAGCAGAAAATGAAAAGCAGCGCTTACTTGTTGATGTTTGCAAGATAAATATCGGCTACATGACCCCCAGTGGGACAGCTGGCCCCCGCTCTGGCTGTCACCTTTTCTTCAGGTGGCTCAGAAATGACCTCAATCTCAGACTTGGGGCTGGACCTCTCCACGACACCGTCCTCGCTGGGGGAGAAGGGGCAGGCAGGCAGGGAAGAGGGAAAACAACAACAACACAAAAAGCAGTGTTAAATCGGCAAGATGGCCCCCCGACACACACGCAACCCCACACGGCTCTGAGGCAGCGGCGACCCCTGGCTGGGCCGGCTCTGTGAGCACACAGGCGAGGAAAGCTAAGGGCCTTTGGAGGGTCTTTTAAATAAAATAAATAATCCAGCTTGGCACTGCGGGCTCCTCAGCTCCTCAGGAAAGCTTGGCTAGGGGGCACCTGGATTCGAGGCATCTGCCTTCCACCCCACGCTGCTTTCCTGGGGTGGCTGTGCTGGGCCCCCCTCCTGGAGAAGGAGGCGGCAAGTCCAGGCTGCTGTTTATCTGCTGAGGTCCTGAGCACTGCCGCGTAAGGACAGTCAGCTCTGCGGCGGCTCTGGAGAGGCCGGCGTTGAGGCAGGACACCGCCACACTCGGTCGTAGCGCACTGAGCCCTGCTTAGAGCTTCCAAGCCGGTCCCAGGTCTCTCCACTGCTCTCCTGGCCCCTCTGGCTACTGATGACAAAGAAAGCCCCTTCTCCCCCACAATTCATCTTCTCTCCATCCTGTAGTGAAGTCATAATGCTAAATTTGGGAGGGTCTCCTGTCCACGCACAGATGGCCACCAGGTTTGCGATGTTATCAACAGAGGGAGGATTTCCCTGCAGAAGGAGCCCGGGAGAGGCTGGGAGGGCGCAGACTCACTCAGGATATCAACCTTTAAAAAATAATATGAAGGGAAGGACTAAAACCACTGACAGCATGGTATCCAAGGGGAGGGAATGAGGGCAGAGGGGCAGGGGTGCAGGCTTGGCTTGGGCAACAGGGGAAAAGCCTTCCTGCCTTCAGAAGTGTGAGGACTAACTGGCAGCCATCTGATGAAGTCTCTCCGGGACCTGTTCAGGCTCTCGTGGTTCCGACAGCCTGTTCCCTCCTCTCTCCCATCTTTCCCCAAATCAACCTCATCTGCGTTAACTAAGTTGGGTCATTCCCACAAGGGTGCTTAAGCTAGATTTCTCCTAGAAATGTAGCTTATTACTTTCATTTGCAAGTGGGAAAGACCCATCAGTGGCCCAAATGGTTCAGGTAAGCATAGTCGTTTAATTAAAAAAAAAAAAAAAAAAAAGAAAGAGAAGCAAAAATGAGAAGCAAAAATGTTTTCCTGTCCTGATCTTTCCAGAAAGGGAATGTAGGTGGTCAAATAATAACCGTGCATTATCACTCATCAGGTGTAAATGTGGATGAGCGCTGGCTGGCAGGTTTCTGAAACAACTAGATCAGGGAGTGGTTTGCAGGGAGGATAGAGGATGCAGAGATTAAAAACACAATTCTCCACTGAGTCTGGGGGCCCTGTGAGGAACTGTGTGGAGCCTCAGGACCTCAGTGGCGCCCCCTGGGGGTTGGTCTCCCACACACGCCTATGTTCCAGAAATAAGGTCTCGCTTCTACAGCGCAGCCAGTGACCCCTAAAGGTGCCAAGGGCCCAACGTACGTGTCTTGGACCACGATGTACTGATGGGGGATGAGTCCATCAATGCCATTGTGCCTGCCTTCCCACCAGTCGTCGGAAGCCCGCTGGTACAGCAGCAGCGATGCCCCCTTCTTGAAGGACAGCTCTCGGGCTGTCCGGCCCACGTAGTCAAACTTGGCAATGGCCTCGATGGGCTCACACTCTGAGAGGGGCAGAAGAGAAGGAAACGCATGTTGTTGGGACCCATGGACTCAGGAAACTGGGCGGAAAAGCCCAATTAGATGAACTTAGAGTGGTGGGCAGATGGCCTAGTGTGAAAAACAGGCCATGGAGGATCTGTAGAGCAGGTAATTCCCACGCAGACTGTGCCACTGCCCCGAGAGCACTTGTGGCCTCTTCCCTGCCCGTGCTCACGCTCGTCCCTCCACGTGGTATGCCCTTGCTCTTCCCTGCCTGATGGAACACATCCGGACACAACTCAAACATCATCTACTTTAATAGTGACTTCATTGGTATTTCCATAGCTCTTCCCACCTACCCCTATCATTTCACTTGCCATACTGTATTTATAGGCATTATTCTTTTCTGATTATAAAACAACTCCATTAATTACAGAAAATGTAGCATATTGTATTTTAAATGATTTATTTATGTGTCCATTCCCCTAGCAGAACATCAGCTTTCATAAAGAGAAAATAATTTGCCCAAAGAACTTTTCAAAGAGCAAAATATGGAAATATATTTTGCGACCAATAAATACATGGAAAACTGGGCATGGAAGTGATTTGAAAAATTAAAAGGGCTTTAAAAATGCAATGTATCTTTACTTTGGTGTGTATTTCCATCCCCTCATCTGTAAAATGAAGATAACAAGAGTACCTATCTCATGATACTGTTATGAGGAGTCAATTTATTATAATTTATGAAAGTGCTTAGAACGGTGCCTTGCCCACAGTAAGTGCTATGTAAGTCATTTACTGTTGTTATTATTATCATGTTCTTTTCTAGGTGAAGGTAGAAATCTGAGAATGAGAAGAAGGCTCACAGAAACCTGGGCTCCGAGGTTAAAGTCAGATATTCTAGGTAGTAGAGAGAAAGGCTGCTTAAAAACAAGACTGGGCCCAGACAGCCCTGGTGGTAGGTCTGCTCCCTGAACCTGCAGGGCTGGAGACTTTACCATAGGAGCAGACCAGAGAAGTGGGAAAAACTCAGCTGTGAGGCTTGTCCAAATATCCCAATCTCAGTTCTGTTCAACCTTGGGTCTGTAACTTGACCTTTCTGAATTTCATTTTTTCTCAACTATAAAATAGAAGCCACATCTATTGGGCCATCACAAACTAGGGACTGTGGTGATTAAGAAGTAAGGTATATAAACTCCCTAGCAGTACTGGGCACAAGGTAGGCCCTAACCAAATACTAATTTCCCAAGTTTATCTACTCCTCCTTCCATAAGGTGATAAATTATCAGACTGATCCTTCTGACATAAGGACTGAAATAAGCAGTTCTGATTTTTTTTCTCCTTTAAAAATTTGCCTGGGATTGCAGAATTCACAGAAAGGCAGGGAAAGCTCCACAGACTATGCCATTTTGTTCTGGTGTCCAGAAAATTCTGAGGCCCGTTGTCAGCTGCTGAGACTTCCAGAGCCCAAGTGATCCAGGAAGGGTGGTGGGAATTGTTGGAAGGAGGGGAAAATATGCTGGCTGGACAGACCCTAATAAATCATGGGCACTGCTGAGGGGCTACGGATGACAGCTGAGCATTCCACCTCTTGAAGCACACGAGCCAGGCTGCTCAGCACTCCATGGCCGTGCTCTGCAAAGGGTTGATTTTTCCATTCGGCAGGCGTGAAAGTGTGTGGTTTCTGCATCCTGATTCCTGCTCCCCTCTGGCTCACTGTTGTTGGGTTCTTGGCACCCAGCTTCTCTATTCCCCAAGCGAACTATTTTTCAAATGAGCTCCCCTTGGCTTTAGTCTCAGCTACCTGGCAGGAGTCTGGGCTGTGCCAGGGGACTGGTCATCATGCTGGTCTCAGGCTAGACAAGGAGCTAGGAGGTGAATGGGTGGGAGGGAGTTGGAGCAAGGAGGCTCAAGAGTCACCAGAGGTCCAGTGCTTCACCTCTAGTTTAGTACGGGACTGCTCTTAACTATGTGAAAAGGTGGGCTGTCTCTCCAAGGAAGGGAAGGGATGAAGGTGAGGGGTTATGGAGCTCTCTGCCTTCCTCAGGGCACTACTGGGCAGGAGTGCAGGATATATACCCAGTCACTTCCTCTGCTTTACCCCTGGTGGCCCCACTGACCAGGAAGCAGGGCCTCGTACCGTCATCGCTCATGTGGTGCTCTGTGGTCACATCCTGGGCTGAGTCTTCAGCAGAGGTAGTCTCTCCATGAGGGCTATCACTGCAACAGAAGCAAGAGTGACCAAGATATCAGGCTTTGGCTTATAGCATTCTTGTCTTCCCATTCATCCAGCCTCCTTGGAGCAAAGGCATAGAATCTACCTTATGCTTTCAATACCTTAACTGCATACAACAAACAAACGCTTATAACAAAATAGAAGGCTCTAGAGGTTCTCAGGTCTAGTTCCTGGTACAAAAACTACTTGAGACTACTTGGGACTTAGACTATCTTTAGACAAAGGAAGCCCCTTTGAACTTATGAAGTCAATTCTTTAGAAAATACGGAACAACTCAACTCCTCAAGGGCTGGTTGTCTATGTGAATTATGTGGGCTTCCTGGTTCTAAAGAAGGGAGTATGGTGGGAGGGAAGTACTGGCCTTTCGCATCAGATACAACTGGATCCAAAAACCAGCTCTGATGCTTGGTAGCTGTGTGACCCTGGGCAGATTACTTAACCTCTTTAAGCCTCAGCTGTCTAATCTATACATTGAGGATAATGATCTATATACCTCACAGAACTGTGTGAGGATGCAATGAAATAATTTAGAGTTTGGCACAGAGGGGTTCTTAATAAGTGGTGCTTCCTTTCCTTCTTTCTTATCTTGGTTGATGCCTCTGGGTTGCTTTGTGGTTTAGCCTCTCTACAGGTGAGAAAGTGAGCGGTGAGTCAGAGGGCTGGGTGGAAACAAGACAGGGGAAGAAGAATCTGTTGTGGGCTAGACTCTGCAAGAGAGCAGGGGATGGAAGCCAGGTCAAGTTCTTGAAAAAATGAAATGCGTGGAGTCTGAAAACAACCAGGGTAGAGAACTGACAACAGCCTGGGAAGTTAGTAGGAAAGTGGTTTCTACTTCTGCTCTCTTGGCTCATGGACTTTAGAGGACATGGGGATGAGTACCAGGAGGTTCTTATTTCCTGAGAAAAACCCTCCTCATTTCTGAAGTTCCCTTCTCTGGCAGTAGGTAGTATCAACTGAGCATTCCAGGTGGTCCTATGGAAGTCCTAGCCCTCAACCCCATAACCTGGCCTCACTGCTTCTACTCTTGAGCCCTTCAGCCTTGCCCTCCCCATGGGATGGGTCCTACAGTCCTAGGAAGTTCCTCAAAGACCAAGTGACCAGTTCAGAAGTCACTCCATGTGGAATAAGTCAGTTCCAAGGAGGTTTTCCAGATGCCAGAGAACATTCTGGAAGAACATCAACAAGGATTCCTCTGTCAAAAAATGTGGATACAATTTTTTATTGTCTTCTGGGCCTGAAAAGTCTCTGATGAGATTGGTGACATTCTGGAAACTTCAGGTGCTCAGAGTGTACAGGGCCAGGGCTCGCTTTCCCCTAGGACTGTGAGTTAGTTTACATGGCCATTCACTGGAGCAGCAGTTCTCAAATTTCTGGGAACATCAAAATCCCCTGGAGGGCTTATTCGAAAACAGATTATTCCACCCCTGGAGTTTCAGATTCAGTAGGTCTAGGGTGGAGCCTGAGAATTTGCACCTCTAACAAGCAAGTGATGCAGGTGCTGCTGGTCCAGGGACCCCATTTGAAAACCACTGCTCTAAAGGCAATATGGCCATCTTTAAAGTCCCTTCTAGCCCTAAAACCCTAGCTTCTTTTGTTCCACAACCCTACCCCCAGCGACACCCCTCAGGTCCACCAACACCTGAGCTCTCAGAAGCAGACAACCATGTCACACAGCAGGCACTCCTAGAAAACCGTGCTCCACACTCAGGAAGGTTTCGGGGCTGGTAAGGGTGGAGAAATGGGATTTGCCTCTCCTCCACTGCTGCGGGCCAAGCAGCCTGGTTCTCTCCTTTCCCTGGCTGTTCTGGTCACTTTTCAAGGTTCTTGCTACCCCTTTCTTCGCCTCTTTCACTGGTCTTACTCACTTCATTGGTACTTTTCTCTCTTCCCAAAGAAGGAAGAGGAGAGAAAGGAAGCCTTCAGAGTGGGTGTGAATCCAATGGTCAGACTGTCCACTCATCCCAAGGTCACTGACTCTTGATCCCTGGGCACTTCTGGCCTGAGGCCCAGGGGCCTCCCACGTAGGCTGCAGTAGTAACGTTCCCTGACTAATGTTGTGGTCTTTCCGGAGGCTACAAAGAAGTGTCTGATGCACAACATCGTGGGGCTGGGGAAGACAGCCTAGAGAAAACTGGAGAAAGGTGCCACCTTTCCCTCCCCTTATGGCTCACACCCCCCAGGGCTCTGTCTGCCCCACTGGGCTGGGCCAGGTGAGCAGGGCTGTGGAGACTGTGTATCCTAGGGAACAGCCTGGAGCCTGCAGTGGTTTCACATTTGGGAAGTGAAGGCAGACCTTCTGCCCATCTTTAGGAGAATGGTACAGCAGTAATTGGGGCCACTAGTCCAAAACTTCTCAATAGTCAAATCATTCATGGAAGGGGGAAACCGACTCTCTGGGTCACGCACGCAAGGACAGTTCCCTGGAGCTTATCAGCTAGTAGGCTGACAATCTCCCCAGTCACCACCAACCATCTGTCAGTGACAAAAAGATTTCTCTCCAAGCTGACAAGCCTATGTTTTTCCAACTCTGACCCAGATGGTGGGATCTGCAACATGGCAGAGAAGAGTAAATCCAACGATCTCACTGATACTATTATGTTCACAGACACATGAATATCATTTTCTTTATTCCTTGGGCAGGAGGCTCCTTCTGTGGGGGTCAGGAAGAAGCGTGGACCAATTGGCTTCTAATTAAGTAAACAACCTCCCCTACCTCAGTTGATAGAAATGGGGCTGGTAGAATTGGTTCCAGATGTTGAACTCAGCAGAATCCGATTTGGGCTGGCTTATGCTTCCAGCTCAGGCTGAAACACCATTTAGGGGGAGAGCGGAGGGGGAGGTAAGGGACATTAGAGAGAGGCAGTTGTCTTTGTGGTTAGTGGAAAACTGACCCTGTAGGTGGTATCTTGGGAGGGGTAGTGGATGGTGTCCTATACTAAGAGACAAGATCGGGGTTGGAATTTCTGTCACTGGGGTAGCCCGAAAGATGATGTCACTGGCCTCTCTGGGTTGCAATGACTTCATCTGTAAAACAGAAATAGTGACTCTACAGAGCGAAGACGAGCTCCAGGGGTTCCTTTTAGATCTCCACTCCCCAGCTGTGGTCATGAAAAACCCCACCCCGGAGAATGTGGCCCCACTTCAGAGGGGGACCGTGCCTAACCAGCCAGAAACAGAGCTTATCCTTCTTTCTCTTCACAAATTCCTGGAGTCATTCGAAACTATCATCTTACAAACCCACAGTCAAGAAATGGTGTCTCATATCTAAGTTCTTCCCAGTAAGAACAAAATTTCCTGGGACCAAGGACGGCTTCTCTCACAGTACACAGAACATAGCAGGGTATGAGACATTGTTGACTGATGAACAGCAGTTCTATATACAACTTCACAGACTTTCCTCTCTTGGAGATTATTAACGTTACTATTATTGCTATTGTCATCATCTTTCAGACTGGTCCCTCACTGTTCAGACTCATAAAAAAGGGAGGTGTCATGAAGTGGCACTTGCTCTGTCGGTTGAGTCAAGGTGAGGACTGCCTACACCACCCCCACATCCTGGCAGCCTGCAGAGTCTGTAAGTGGGAGGGTAGGAGGATCTGGGTGTTTCCCTTTGGTTTTCACTTGGCCATCTGGCCCCTAGGCCAGTGTGTTGGTGACTCCCTCCTCTTCTCCAGCCCCTTACCAGTAATCCTCCATGCTTCCTCCTCTGCTGTAGACAGGGCCCTCCAGCTCCCTGGGGTTTGGGAAGATGTTCTCATGCTGGATGATGATGGTTTTGATCAGCTCATTCACGTGGGCTTGGCAGGACACCTGGTCGTGGCCCTCAGGCACTGACATCAGCGAGGGCCCGAAGCAGATGGCAAGGTTATAGGGGTCCATCATGTTCTCTTCACTGAACTGTGATAAACTGGAGGAGAAGGAAAAGGGGGCAAGCTGGTGAGCACTTGCATGAATGCCCAAAAAACACAATCACAGGAGGCACTGCCAAGAGCAAAAGCAGAAGGTCCACAAACTGCCACCTGCCTTCCTGGACATCACAGCCCTTCCAGAAAGCAGAGCTGGGGAGAAAGGAATGACTACCACAATGGTCATTCAGGAGCCAAGGAAAGGCAAAGTGGAGGTGCCGGGCCCACTCCATCATGGTGAGAAAAGAGCAGACTCCTTACAGCTCTGACCCCTCCCCTTTCTCCAGCTACCCTTTCAAAATCCTGCTTACCACCCTATCACCCACTTCCACCTGGGACCTTCTCCACCAAATCCACTCTGCTGTGAGGACACACCACTCTGCAGAGCTGGATACAGCTCCCACAGACCAACCTATTACGCTGACGGAGCAGACGGGGACTGTCTTAGTCATCTAGTGCTGCTACAACAGAAATACCACAAGTGGATGGATTTCACAAAGAGAAATTTATTTCTTCACAGTAAAGTAGGCTAAAAGACCAAATTCAGGGCATCAGCTCCAGGGGAAGGCTTTCTCTCTGTCGGCCTTCTCATCAATGTTCCCCAGGACTAGGAGCTTCTCGGTGCAGGGACCCCAGTTCAAAGGACGTGCTCTGCTCCCGGCACTGCTTTCTTGATGGTATGAGGTCCCCAACTCTCTCTGCTCACTTCTGTCTTTTATATCTCAAGACATTGCCTCAGGATACAATCCAATCTTGTAGACTGAGTCCTGCCTTACTAACACAACTGCAGCCCATCCTCCCTCATTAACATCACAGAGGCAGGATTTACAACATACAGGAAAACCACACAGTACCAGGAATCATGGTCTGGGCAAATTGGTACATGTGTTTTTTGGGGGGACATAATTCAATCTATGACAGGGACCCTCAGGCTGTCCTGGTAATTATATGGTCAGAAGACACTGGCATTGTATACTGTGTATTTTCTTTCTTAGCAAAATAACCAAATTATTAGAGAAATTCCATCCTAGGTTCTAAACTTATTTAAAAAAAAAGCCAATCGATTAGCTTTTGTATTCCATCGAGCCAGTGCATTTCTTTCTGGAAGAGCTAATACAATTGTTTTTTATTCTCATAATATTCTCCTCTATTGTTATATGCAGGATTTATTCGGGAAAAGGTCAGCATGCTGTTTAGCTTCTGCTTGGGCTTCCTCTGGATGCAGACTAACTTCATTATTGAGTATTTATTTATTCTGGGAACTCCTCCTTTTCAGCTGGCAGCTGCTTCAGCCACACCTCCAACCTGGTCAAGGACTCAAACCCTTCAATGAGCCACTGTACCTACTGAGTCTCTATTGGTCCCTGCCTGTCCAGGCATTGAGGGCTGGATCAGCTCTGGATGTATTCTCCCACCTAGTGTCAGAGCTGTCAGCTTTGCTAAGGAGTTCTGCCATGCTCATGGGCACCAGCATGGAGTCCTCAGCACCTAATTCTGATGGACCCTAAGAAGAACCTTTTTGATGCTGAACTAGAAGCCTGAGACTCAGCAGTCTTCACCCAAGTGGCTGTTTTTCAGAATTGGGCAGAGTTTATTTCTAGTGTACCCCAAATTCAGACTCAAATCACCAAGCTGGTCTCTTTCCAATTCAGGGGTCCTCTCCTCCACTGGAGATTCTGATACGTACTTGTCCCCCCTAGACAATTACTGCAGGGAGTGAGTAGTGGTACGATGGATGTGAACAACTGTCATGAGGAGAAGGGGTTGAGAATCACTGTTGTAGAGGACGTACAATCAAACGCAGGAGAGGCCCGCGATGGATGATGTCAGAGGGCTCAGTGGCTGGATTGTTTCAGAGGATAGTTTTTTTTCCCCTTTAAATTTTATTTATTTTGCTGTGTTGTTGAGCATATACACAGCAAAATACCGATCCAACAGTTTTTTCATGTATAATTTAGTGACATTAATTACATTCTTTGAGTTGTGCAACCATTCTTACCCTCCTTTATCTGAGTTGTTCCTCCCCTACTATTAACATTAACTCACTGCCCCCTAAGCTTCCCATTCAATCTTTGGAGTGCTTCACAGGGTTCTCAAAGATTTAGTTTTACAGTCTGTCCCTGGCTCCTGAGTTAAAAGGGAACAGCGATTTTAAAAAGGCTAGGGGAAGTTTCCAAGGGTATTCCTTGGTCAAAATAAAACTGGAGAGAGAAAGGAGAGGTAATTGCTTTGGTAACCTCAGGAGGGATCACTGAGGCATGAGGTGCCACAAGGCTACAGCTTTGACTAATCCCAGACCGGCCAATTCCTAGTGTTAAGGAGGGACAAGGATGGGGGAAGACTCTCTTTAATGTGATCTGACGATGTTTTTGTAACATGGAAGAAAGCCAGTAATTTCTGGGAAGCCTGACAGTCAAAGGGAAACAAACTCTAGCCCTGAGAGACTCAAGTCAAAATTTGGTGAAAGATGAGAAATCTTGCCAAGCCTACAAAGGTAAGGACTGTTCTTGGTGGTTACAATGACCAGGGCCTGGAGGAGGACACAGCTTCACAGCCTGTGGTCTCACAGGTCCAGGTCCATTCCCTTACTCTCATCAAAACATAGACCAAGATCCTCTTCTCTCTTCCAATCTACAGTGGGAATGCCAAAGTGCAGGGGATAAAGCAGTGGTGGCTAACTATTTGGGGACCACAGACTCCTTCAAGAATCTGACAAAAACTGGGAATTCTCCCCTAAGAAATTTCATTTACGTGCACATAATTTTGTATAAAATGTCATGGTGCTAATAACCCTTAAAGACCCTGAAGGTTATATCCAGTATAAGACTTCAAACAACGGATTTTTATTTTTAAAGAAATGTCTGTAATATATACACTGGTAACAGCTCCTTTAAAAAAATTTTTTTTAGTGTTAACTTACATACATGCTGTCTCCTCTAAGGGTTACACTATATTTTATTCTCCTAATTGCTTTGAATTAATCATCTTTTGTACATCCTTAAAAAGGCTCAGCATATAGGGTTGCTATGAGTCAGAATCGACTCGACGGCAACGGGTTTGGGGTTGTTTTTGGTGATCGTTAGGAGTATAGGCTTTATTTTGGGAGTGAGACTGCCAGGCCTGGAGTGGAAAACTTGTTTTTCATCATGCACTTTTCTGGACTTTACAATTTTCAGTGATGTGCATTTGTTTCCTCGATTAAATTAAATAAGAAAAAAACAATATTTCAAGGATTTTAGAGTTAAATAGACCTGGTTTTCAGTCCTAGCTCCATTGCTTACTAGTTCCATGACTTTGTTCTAGTTCCTTAGTTTCTTCATTGTAAAATGGGGGCAATAATAGTGTCTCCTTTATGGGGCTGTTTTGAAGAATAAACGAGATAATATATGCAAAACATTTAGCATAGTGCTTGGCACATATGTAGTGTTCTAAAATTTTTTTAATAATTATAATATCCTGATTGCTTCTTGACACAGGATCCTTGATTCCAGGGAGGAAATGGAAGGTGGGGCTGCCAACATTTGGCAGTGATTAATTTACAGAAATCTACCTATCTTCTTCCCCCGACAGGCATGGTCTAATCAGCTGAGGACTCTAGATCTCAAAATCAAAACCAAAACTGTAACTCCTCAAGAAGAGTGCTAAGCTTTGGACAGACTCCCCTTGAATGTGGGCTAGAGTCAGTGACTCACTTCTGGTAAATGGAATGCAGCAGAGATGACGAGATATTGCTTCTGAGATTAGGTTATAAAAAGACTATCACTTGTCTTGGGAACTCTCTTGCTTGCTTTGAGGGAAGCCAGCTGCCATGTTATGAGCAGCTCTATGGAGAGGGTCATGTGGCAAGGAACTAAAAGAAGCTTCCGGCCAACAGTCAGCCAGGAACTGAGGCCCTCAGCCCAACAACCCACAAGGAACTGAATCCTGTCAACAACCACATGAGGGAGCTTGGAAACAGATCCTCTTCCAGTCAAGCGTTCAGATGAGACTACAGCCCTGGCCAACACCATCACCAAAAGCTTATGAGACCTTGAGCTTGAGGTCCCCAGCTAAGCTATCCCTGGATTCCCAGCCCACAGAAACTCTGAGCTAATAAACGCTTATTGTTTTAAGTTGGTAAGTTTTAAGGTAATTTGTTGTATATACACAGCAATAGAGAATTAATATCAGTGCCATGAAAGGAAAACAATATTAACAAGGCCTGCTGGACAAGCATGCTTTTTTTCCTTAAGGTTCCTTGAGATTGAGGATGTATACAACCCAAGAAAAAAGCCACAGCAAGGAATAGAGTACACACACACCCAGAATTCAGAGCAACAAAGAAGGGTACTGAAAGTCTGGGCCAGGCAGAGTCTCTATTGGGAACTAGCTTCTAACTATTGCTATACCTGTAGGTCATGCACACATATCACCTGGCACCCTCCCACGGAGGTGGTCTTCTTTATCACCTGTGTCCTGCATTCTATTTATTATTTTAGGAAATATTATGATTATTAATGCTGCTTTGGTGAACACATGAATCTTTTCAACGAAACACTTTGATGAGCAAATCAGTCTTTTTTTAATTATGAAAAAAAGTAAAACAAACCAAAAATAATCATGTGAATTGGTGCAATCCCCATGTTTTCTTCAACAGTGGTTGCTATCTCCAGCTCTGCACAATGCTTACTCTATTGTATCTCCCCTCCTGCAACTCCCCCTCCACACTCCTTTTAGCATGATGAAAATGTGGGGAAAAGAGCCAGGTCATTGTGCGCACACAGAGTAACTCCCAGGAGCTCCCTGTCCCCCTCACCTGCTTACTCACTACCACCATGCTTCTTGCTCAGGTGGAACAGACTGGGCTCACTTTGAGGGCAGGTATTGGTCATTGAGAGGAGACAAGGACTGGTGGCCCTGAGGCGAGCAACTCAAGAGTAATTACATCAGCCTAAACTGGTCTGCAGCTGGATAGCCTTTGTTAGCCATTAGGGATTTTTAACACAAAGGCAGCTGAAGTGCT